CTACGCAATGGAATTTGACAGTTTTTGTAGAGAATTCGTTAGGTACAGGATGTTCTAAGACTAATTACGTGATTGTCGAAATAGAATAGTGATTTTAAGTTACTTTAGTAATGTATTCAAAATATTAAACATTTTTAAAACTTTAATATAGTTAGATATTTACTTAATAATATAGGTATATCTAGTAAAAACTTTTCATTGAGGCATCTTAACAAATAGGAAATAAAAAAAAACTTTTGACACGTCAAAAACTCTTACTAGATATAACAAATCATACTATTAAATTACAGTAAATATTTGTCAAAAATTTGCTTTTTTTTTTGGTTTTATTTCATTCTTTTTAGGAGGCTTAAAATCTTTAAAAAGTACCTTTTATAAAGAGGATAAATAATTATGAGAAAAACATAAAGAAACTAATGCATAATAATTTTAGATAAATAAAACTTTCATAGTGTTCTTGAAGGGTGTCGAAAATGAGAGAACTTACATGCATAGTACCTACTGGATCCATATTTTCTTATTGGAATATAATCCATCTTACCTAAGCCCCCCTGAAGGGACTTTCATGTGGTTTCCCCTGGAAACCATCGTGGTTAATTCTAGTGGAATTCGTTACGATGGGCTAACTAACCTGCTTTCATCCTTATCTATCACCTCTCACTGGTGCCCCGCCAGTGTATTCCGATGGCGCAGGCCGGGTTGCCATTCTATTATCACCAATTAAAAAAAAAATCCCCTGAAGTTGCTTGAGAAAACTTTCATATGTAAACCACCATATTCTTTAAATTAAAGTAAAAATACACATTTACAAAATATTATTACTATTTGTTGAGCGCCACGGGATTTTTATATATTAAACATGTGGTAAAAGCTGATTAACTTATGGAGATTACTTTAAGGATTGTTTACTTTATGGAGGTATATGAATTTATATATTTAGTTGAACAAAATTGTAATGACATTAATGCTCAATAAACTAGTATTTTTTAAATTTTCATACATCCTGTATTTAGACTAAGTTTCACAAGAAAAGCGTGTCTAAATGTGAGAAATCGTGCATGTCATTGGTGGCTCTCGAGATGTTTAGCTGCGATTAGCCGTGTAAATAAAAAATGAACTGAAACGTATCTTATCGAACGAACTGTCCGGCACGGTGTGACCGACGGACGTACATTTTAACTGACACCACATATACTATGGACTTGTATTCAATATTTTCCCTATTTCTAGTTTATTCTAGTTTAAATACGTATAAAAATAAAATATAATGATAAATATACCTCCATAGGTAGGTATATATATTAGAATATGAAAGTATTACCTACTTAAAAATAATAAATATAAAATTTAATCTTTAATACTTAATTAAAATTTATGCATTTTATGCCTTACCGAACAGCGGCAAAAATAAAGTCGCATCGTATTCGCCTATGTTCTTGTGTTTGGATAAGATTTAATATTATAAATTAAAGAGAAACTATGACACCTGTCATCATCATTATATAAACCTATTAGTATTGTACTATCGAATAGAATGCCGAGCTTTTTCCCATTAACGAGGATATAAGAATCTTAATTAGGTACCATATTATTAATTATTTATTATTAGCTACACACGTAGATTGGTTTTTTATATAATTTTTTTTATTTTTTTTTACATTAATATCAATCTATTTATCGATTGCGCATTATTCGTTTGTATAACCCCCCAAGGGTGAGGCTCATGTTCAGCAGTGGATAGTAAAAGGTTGATATGATGATGATGATGATGAATAGGTAGGTATGTACATTGTAGTTCCTTACTAATATGTAATATTCGTTTAACGTGTTATCTTTCGAGGCGACAGTGTATTTGCATTATTATAATTTCCATATACAATATTACAATGTTGTGTTATGTTACGATGTTAGGTTACGACCTAACACCAGGCATGATTGTGAATAAGCTCTCTTAAATTTCAAGTAAATTATAATAATTTAAAAAATTCCGAATAGATATCTGATTGTTTCTATTGATCACATTGATTTCAATAAAATTTGATAAGTTGCTATATTGTATAATCTATAATAATTTACGATAAAAATATTACTTAACATGTTATAAAAGTAAAACTAGTATATGTTTTATAAGTAAATTAGAATTACTTGTGCTTATGCTGTAGAATGAAACGAAGAATATTTTTGTGCATGGAATAATATTAATAATTCGTGTAGTGTAATAGAGGAGTGTGTAGTAGAAAAAACGTCCATAGTATTTGAAAAAATAAATTCTGAAGAATAATATCATAAATAAAAGACTAATTTAAAAGATAACCAAGTATTATTCAAATTATCACAGAAACACTCTTTAAATAAAATTAGTAACAATTTGAAACGTAAATAAATAAATACGTGAAATCAGTAAATCGTTTTTTTTATTTGTACTTCGTTTGTTGTTTATTTGATACTTCGAAGTTTTAGTGGTGGCTCTATACAAATGCCACTAGTTAATCTGAATTGTGAATGTACCTATTTGTGTAGGAGGCTATTAAATACTTAAATGAGATTCGTGAATGATTTGTTGCACCAACTAAAGTAGTCATCACGTTGTTGTAGGTAAGTGTCTACTTAACAGCTACTAGTTTACTTGTCGTTTTAAGTGGCTGTTAAATTATGTAGAAAATAGGAATGTAATCTAATATGTATAACAATAATAAACATTTAAGATACTTTTAAAATTGTTAAATTGTTGTTTTGAGAAATTATAATCCTATAGTAAACTTCTTTTAATTATGTTAATATAAACTTGATAGGATTATTTATACAGCGAGACTGGTAATCATCTTATTATTTACTTGTTAAAATTAAAACATAAAGAAATAATAAACTCAAAATATCTTTTTTTTCCATAAAAGAGCAACCTTTTTCTTAATAATTCAGAATAAGCGAAAGTTGTTTATGAAAACAGGTTTGCTGATACATATCTACTACTGCAGGTATGATCCTTTGTTTATATACGTAATAAGCTGAATTAAAAGTTGCAATTAGTTTATTTCAGGACTACTTTGGGATAATTTATTTCTTCTAATTTTATATTTTGACCCTACACTTGTTCAAAGTGGTCCAGGTGCAGACGTTTCAGATAGATATCTACAATGTTACAATTTATTTATAGGTAGGTACAGTGAACATCAAAAGTCGCTGAAAACAAACACATTTTCAACACCCGGAAACACTTTTTACTTTATTACCAGAGGGAGACTGTACAAAAGTCGATTGCTTGGGTACCTCTGTCCCATTCGTGTTTCTACCGTGAAGCACTTGTGTTTTCATGGTTTTGTTTCAGTTTAAAGGGTGGGATATGGCGTGAATTTACAGGGTACAGAGGAATAACACCTGAGTCCTCAGGAATGGCAGCGCATGGGGGGTATCATGGGCGAAACAGTATACTCTGTTATGTCCATGGTACTGTTCATGTTTATAAGCGACGGTTACCACTTTCCATCATGGGGTTGTCAGCTTGTTTGCCATTCTAAGTTGTATAAAAAAAAACACTGGTGCTTATGTACATACCAACATAGCAAGTAGTGGGGGAAGGCATTGTTAGTAACGCGGACTACCAGTCGGATTGTATACAATCTACCCTATCAGATCGACATCCCCGTAGTCCCCTTGGAAACCATCGTACTGAATTCCAAATGTATCATTCATCACGATGGGCTAACTGACCTGCCCTTTTTTTCTCACTTATCTTCGTTTGCTGGTGCCCCGTTATCATATAGGTACCGTTAGTGCAGGGGGGGTTACCATTTCATTATCATCTATTAAAAAATAATATAGCAAGTAGTTCCATGTGTATTTTTTTTAATTCGCATGAAAATTGAATGGAACGTAATTATAGATGAAGAAGAAGTCGGATTCGTTAGCTGATCGTAGCGACTTCCAGCTGCTGGGGGACCTGCGTGGAGGTCGACCTGACAGGTTATATTGTTAAATATGAGAACTAACCTCTCCATTACGGGGGGAAAGGGACTGCTAGTAATAGAGACTGAGAATCCCATTGCTAGCAATATACCCAACCAGGTCGACCTCCACGCGGTTCTCCCTGGAAACTATCATGGTTAATTCCTGATGAATTCATCATGATGGGCTAACTGGCCTTTTTTCATTCTCATCTATCACCCTTCACTGGTGCTCCGCCAGCGTATCCCGTTAGTGCAGGCGGGGTATACCATAGCATTTTCATCCATCAAAAAAAAAACCTCTCCATTACTAACAATTCTATAAAGTTAAAAATGTTAGAACCTACAGGTATACTTAGGAATGTACCTATTGTCTAATTGATAGGTATAATAAATACGAGTATAAACATCAATCTAAAACTTCTATTATGGCAAACAGTTGATATTGCATTATGATACACACATGTGATAGGAATCTGTAATATATAAAATATACATTTAGATGTATTTTTTTTATTTGCAAAATTATCTTCTTACATTTAAAAAACAAAGTATTTTCCATACATTTTAGAAGGTAAAAATTTAATGTAGAGCCCGCACAGAAACGGCAGGCAACACAAACACGTTAATGGCTTGAATCGCTCGCGGCCGTGGCCTGAAACCCATTAAGTTCAAAACTCAATAAATATCATTGTTCCGACGCTTAACTAGGAAAATAACCCAGCGCGGCCGCCGGGGGCCGCTTTAGCTCGATCTTCAGCTAGCCGCGATCTCTAATATTCATAAGTCAATTTCCTGCCCCATTAATACGTAACGAAGTAGCGCAAATGGCGTTATCGCTTGTGCGCGATTACTTGCCCGCCACTCTCTTACATAATTCAACGTATTAAACGAAATTGTTTAAACCTTATTGCTCGATTACGTTTCTCCACCCAAGGCACGCCTCGTTTCCCGCCGCCAATCGGCTGACGAGATTCCACTTTCGGCCCCCACTTTGGGGGCGTCCCCTCCCTTTCTAGCCCGCCTGTTTCTGTGAACCCGTTCCAGTTGATACCGGGTTGTTATGCTCGACTGTTGGGTAGAGACAGACGTGTGACACCACGGATTACAGTGCGAACTGTCGAACGACTGAAAACGCGGACTGATTACCTGTGTTCATGTATGAATTGTTACCATTACAATAAATAAATTAAGACCAATATATTAAAGAAAAATAACACAGTGCAGTGCATTATAGTGATATAATTACAAAATATGAAACTTTTCGAATGCCACTGAAATATTGCTGAACTTAAATTTTATTATTATTATGTAAGCAAAGAACTCTGATGTTTTTAACGTAACTCTCATAAAATAGGCCTTGATATGACGATGCTTGCGATGGCGCGAGGATCCGAGGACCGTCGTGACGACGCCGAGGCCGAGACTGAGGCCGAAGCCGAGGCCAACGGGGAAGTAGACGTGGTAGGAGTCGAGGAGGCTGCTCCCGTAGATTTAACAAGAAGATTAGGATTGACGAGGCCATCTGAGCGAGCGGCGATAGCATTTTCTGTGGAGAATATATTGGACCCGAATAAGTTCACTGGCAGGTCCGAAGTGCCTCTGCGCTATGACGAACAATATTGGAGACCGCATTATGATAGGGATGATAGTGATTCCGGTAAGTTTAAATACTTGTAGGAAATAGCTTTTAAGGTTGATATAATTAGGTAGATGCCTTAAAATCTAAAAGCCTTAAAACATTAAAATATGTTTGTAATATAACTATCTACTAGAAACCTACTATGTAAAGACGTTTTATAATTAAGTTTAAAAATATTTCACCTAATTCCGATTAATTAAATATGATTCTGTTAACAAAAAATTAACGATTTTATTCGATTAGTAAATAAAGAAACAGCCATATACAATCATCATCATTATATCAGCTGTCTACTGTCATAGGCCTCCCCCAAAAGAAGAATCTTTCTTAGTTACTACGCTACGCTACGCCAGTAGTTACTACGCTTGGCAGGCAGTTTGGCAACCACAGTTAGGTATTAGTGATGGTTTAAGAGGGATGCTAATATCTATCCAGTAAATTTTTTTAGTCACTTCTTACGACATTCACGGGAATCCGTTCCCGTAAATGTCGTAGGGGTAGCCTATTCTATGCCGCGACCACACAGCTATACTCAATACACTTTATTTATCAACTTAACCTAATTTTTTAAAATGACAAAATAGTCGAGTCTCGATCTATAAATAGTAAAGATATTATTAATTTTGCAACGAATAGATATAAATATAGTCAATACACAGTGTATGTACATAAACTAAAGAACAATTTTTAAATTAATGTAGAGATTTGTTAATTTTCCATTTTATTATATAAGGAGACACCAATTTTATTATTAAAATAAAGTAGGTAATAAATGTATATAAATGAAGTACCTAATTACTTTAAAACATTATAAAAATAAACCTATTATATATTTATATACCTAACAATAGTTTCACTTACATTTGTTCTACATTAAATCTTATTAGGTCATACAATTATAGGATATTTGAATGTTGAAGAGTATAAATGCGATTATTATAAAAGAAACTTTTTTAAAAAGTTAAGTAAACATACTTCTCCTCACTGGCGTCTATTATGGTAGGAATGGCACAATGATATTGTAACAGAGTTGACATAAAAAGCAGATTAATTTGCATAAAACAAGTAGGTTTTTTCAATCGTAAATAAATTATTATTATTAATGCATAAAATCGGTTCAAACTTAGCGCGGTAATTGCGTAAGAAAGATAAACAAGAAAAGTACCTATAGGCGAATTGAGAATCTACTCTATTTGGAAGTTGCTTGGTAGCCCTATTAAATGTATGTAATACCTACGAGTATAACCCTTAATCAGGCATAGTACGATTTATCGACCACCTAGGTAATTGGAGTTTGATCTTTGTTTTTTTGTTTTATTTCATAAAACCTTTATTTAATTACCAATATTTGTATCTTTCGTATGAAGCTAAATATTTTTTACTAAACAATTCATACCTATTGGGTTAAATAATTTTTCAAAGAAAGTAGTCATTATATGCCCTATACCCATCTGGCGGTAGTATGGTATGGACACTGTTACCATTATACAAGAGATGGTCTTGAAATAAAAATATAATTGTAAATTATTAGGTTTTTTTTATAACAAAAATAACATTCTACGTTTTTTTTTAACAAAAATAACATTTTCCGTTTTTTTTTAAGAAAAATAACATTATTCTAGTAGCGTAAAAATAATTAATTTAATCATTGATTAAAAATAGGGATAATGAAAACAAATTATAAAACGACAGAGAGCTCCTTAACAGGCATAGTGCATAATACGACCACTTTTTTGTCTTAATTTTAATATTTTTCAAGAAATAGATCTTAGGTATACATTGTACAGGTAAAAATTAAGAACACACCATATTTGAAAATGTTTTAATGCCAGTGCACATGGGGCCTGATTAAGAGATAATTATTATATGTCCAAATCTAGTCTCGAACTAAGGCGAGAATACAACTCGTATTTTCCAAAATAAACCACGGATGATGATGAGATTTATATTAAATAGTAGTTTAACTACTAGTGCCACTATTTTGTACGTGTGGATTTCAGAATTAGAAAAAAAACCAATGAAATAGGTAGTGTAGGTGGTGTATCGAGATAAAACATACTTACACCAGTTTTTAAGGTTTAACTTAAAAATACACCATTAAAACTATATCCAATTTGGTCCAGTTGCTTTTGCGTAATGATGGAACAAACATATAGACGCACATACAGATAAACAGACATAATTTCTAAAATTTATTGTATTGGCTTTTGTTGCTCTTATTCAGACCCCTCATGTCAATTTTTATTAAATATCTTCCATGTAAAGACATCGCTTAGTTACATTTTTTTTTTTATTAAAGTAAGATAATAAGATTAATCTATGCAGTAAGGCCCACAAATATTATAAAACATTTCAAAAATATACCGCACTAGTGACTCACTTCGGCTTCGCAAGGTTTTGTTTTTCAAATCAAATATAGTTACTCGCTAATAATATCGCAGATGAAAGAATTTTTATGTATGTATTTATCCATTCATCAGAAAGAATCGTACAAAAATTAATCTTTTGTTTAGTTAATTTTAAAAAAATATCTTAAATAATTGTAGCAATTATCTTTATAAGTTATAAAACACTTGTATTACTTACTTATCCGTATAATTATTCAACACAATTAAACAATATTTTATAGCAACTTTTGCTAGCGACTTTGTCCGCGTAACCGTAATACCGCGTAATACTTCTTTTCTATGATTAGTTAAGCCGTTAAGATATAAAAAAAACAAATAATATTTATATGAAGTATAAGGTAATAAATAACATATGGTATACATGCTATAAAGTAACAAACAAACAAACACATTTTAACACAAACACAATATTACTAAGGATACCAAGTATTATAATAGATACCTATCTATTCATTTAGCGTTAACACGGGACCGGACAATCTTAATAAATATTATAAATGTGTAAGGATTTTTGTTATACCATTGTCCCTAAACGACTGAAACAATTTGAGTGAAATTTTAAAAATACACAGATATTAAGATATATGCTACTTTTATTGGTTATACTGATTATATTTTGTAATTATTATTATGTTTTACCGCTATTCTGTTCGGTACGCCATCTATTCTTTACAAAGCTCAAAATAATTAAAATATCATTCGCCTAAAGAAAGATAGGGTGAAGAAAAATTATTGTAAATATTGTAAATAATATTTTTAGTACTTACCTTATAAATAAATTTAATTATATAAATTAATTTAAACTATTAAGTAGGTATATTTTTGTATATTATATTAATTATAATATTTAAAATACCTTAATATGAATACAAACATTTTACTAAAAATAATAAAAACCTTATCGAAGTTTATTATTTACTAGTTATCCGGCCCGACTTCGCACGGATTTTCGAAATTTTTTTTTATATTCTGGAAAGAAAATTGTTTGAGTATTGTAGTTTTTGAGTTTATTCATTACAAATAAACAAAAAACTTTTCTTTTTATATATGTAGTTCCGAGTGTTATTAGTTTAATTAATGTTTAAGTAATTAATTTAATAATCAATACTGATAGGTATATGTTAGTATTGTCAGAAATTAGACAATTTCAACAACTTCCGTAGCAAAGAGCACCGTAGCATATTATGCCATTTTTTGTGTGTGTATTTTTTTTAATTAAAATTTTATATATGTGTATGTAATATTTTTTATTTTATCATATTAAAAATTTCCAAATCAATAGAAAAAAGAAATGAGGAGGTTAAAAAATATGAATATGAAACTATTATTGTAATATGAGTAATTATATCTACAATATTACCTCTTACAGGTGTCCTAGCTTTTATAGTATATTTCTAAGATGCTCATTGATAGGTATAACTTAATAAAGGAACTTAGTGAATAAATATTGAGAATTTAATAAATAGCCATAATTGAATATAATTGGTATTCAATTATAGATTTAAATTTATTAAATGGTTGAAAAATTTGCCTTCTATTGACTCAATCGATATTTCAGATAGGTAACAAAGATGTTGCGAATCACAGATAGGAGTTACGAGGTAATAAATATAAAAAAATACAACGCAATTGAGAACTTCCTTTTTGAAATGGGTTAAAAATTGATTTTACCTTTTTAATACTTTACCTAAACGAGTATCGTTTTTATATGAAAATATTAATTGATGAAAAATAAATAGTGGATATTATTGAATCCCGCAAAAATATGCCCGCAATAGACAGGCATATTTTTAACTACCGTTATTCTTAACGGTTTGTCAAAAATCAATAATGTAAAGTAAGCTTGCATTAGAGCGATGTTATCACGATTCTGAACTATATGTCTGAATAAAACTATATAAAAAGTTTTCACAATTTATACCGTTCACTTTCATGTCAGCAAAATGAATAACGGCCTGTTTTTTAATTGAACAATTACTTCAGTTTTTTATATAGATATGGATTTAATTCTCTCTTTGTCAGGAATAGAATTCACAAAATTACATAAATTACAATTATACGTTGCAGTTAGTTGAAGGTTTAAGAATAATATTATAAAATAAATACTTGTTGTAATAATATAAACATAATATAATTAACGTAATATAATACAATTGAAAATATTTTTATATGAAAATCTACAATAAGTTTAAAAATAAAATAAATTAGTAAATTAGAAATAAATAAATATAACATATTCATATGTAATTGAATTAAAATTTAAAATCTACTAACAAAGTAAATAAATAAAACATGATACAATACATTGATTCAATTGTTATAAAAATTGATAGTTTGTAATAGTACATTACTGCAGCGGCCAGCAATATATATATATATATATATATATATATATATATATATATATATATATATATATATATATATATATATATATATATATGGATATGGACAGATATGGATTTTCATACAATTTTTGATTTATCTCGAAGAAGATTGTCAAAATTGTTCACATTTTCGAGCATGTTTGAGAAAATTACAGTAACTACGGTAATTACGGTACGGTTTTTTTTTTGCTAGAATTGTAGGCGGTGAATGTATAAATATCTA